AACCCCATCAAACACCACTTCAACAAAATTAAAACATAAGACATACAAAGATGATGTTAATGAACCCTATCAAACATAAAAAAACCCAACTACACCTTCTCCCTTTTTTGACAAACCAAAAGTGATTTTTCCAAAGTCATAATCTTTCTCCTTTGCCATCCAATTGTATTATCCCTTTCATCTATATAATCTTCAGTGCGCCATTTGAAGAAATTACATCCTTGCACTTCTTCGTTTCGACTCCGCTGTTGAAAACATCCAACCAAAAACATCTCAGGATAAACCAAACTAATGTACCCCAAAATAAAAACACAACAAAGAAAACAAACCTTGTAATTAGGGCAGCCCCAAAAATGCTTCTCCTCATTCTTAATAGTTTTTGCGACTCTTAATACTTCAAGCTCTCTACAATAGCATATTTGGCTGCCAACCATTCCTCTTGATGAACCACCACGCGAGGTCCCCTATGAGCAAGACGAACACTGATTCATTGACATTGCCTCGAGGAAGGACACAATATTGCTTCGTCGAGACCTACAAAACCACCCCAATCCCAACCAGCCAACTTAGGGCACCCACCTCACAAACAACGAACTTCAGAAACTGTGTTGGAACAAAGAACTTAGGGCACCCTACCTCAGCTCACCTACTTCACATGAGTTCCTTCAGCTAAGCTCCTTGGAGATTAATATGTTAGGACAAATCCCTATGCATTTGCGTTTCCAAATTAAAAGGAAATTTTCATATCTGTCCTTGCTAAAAAATGTGCTTTTACCACACTGGATAAGTAATTTGCCACATCTTTTAACCTTTAACACCGTTCCTACCATTTTAATGGATATGACTGAACTCATAAATTTTTCGTAACATGAGAACCGAATGTCTTCATTTTTAAAACCGGATACTAAACAAAAATTCACCTTTTAACATGAAACAAATAAGTATTTAAACCTAAATTTTATTAATTATATATAATAAAAAATCACATACACAATGTTATATATACGGTAGAATATTACAATTGTACAGTACATATAACATAGTAAAATCTTTCAGGGTCCTTCCTATCTTTCACATGCTAATATAGAAAACAGTTTCTTACATCCATTATCATTTTTCGAATAATTTTGTTTTAATTTTCACCTTTATTTATATTTCGTTGTAAACTCTCTTCCCTCCTCCCTTTCAAACAAAGAACATAGGCGTCTAAAAGGTGGTATGATCGCACAATTTGTAGTTAACTAAGCAATGTGCACCCAAATCAGACCAGCCATCATCAGTGTTGGGCTAAGTTAGGAGTAGTATTGTACTACGCAAACCAAACTGTTTCAACAACCATAGACAAAGCATAACCTAACCGAAACACATGAAGCTAATTTTCGGCTGCCGCCACCACCACAACATAGCCACTCTTATTCGTGGCTTGCGCCACTTTTCCACCACCCCGAAGCCCCCACTCCTCTACACCGCCGACACAATAGCCGGCAACGACGCCATCCTGCAGGTCCTCTCGTGGGGCAGAGGCGCCTCCGGCCAGCTCGGGGGTGGCGTGGAGGAGACCCGCCTGTATCCTTCTCCGGTGGCCAACCTGGCCGTCCCCAAATCCTCCTTCTCTCTCGCCCAAACTCCCGGCCGCCTCCCCGCGGAGAAGTGTCAAACCCCTGAAGTGGGCATCTCGTGTGGACTTTTCCACTCTTCGTTAGTCGCTGGTGGGGCTCTCTGGATTTGGGGAAAAGGTGATGGTGGAAGATTGGGCTTCGGCCACGAGCATTCCCTGTTCGTGCCCACCCTGAACCCTCACCTAGATAACCTTCGCTCTGTAGCCCTCGGCGGCTTGCACTCCGTTGCTCTTACATCAGCTGGCGAGGTCTTCACCTGGTCAGAATCCCTTCAACTTTTTCAAACTCTAGTTGGTCACTTTGGATTCTCTTTGTTGTTTTCTAAAGTCAGGCATATAAGACGTTCTTTGTTTATATGAACTATGTGAAGCGGAAATTGATTAATTAAACTAAAAACATTATTAGAAATAGATATCAAACACACCCTTACCTTCGTGGAATTTCTGATTGGATGAAGGGTTGTTTTCTTATATCAGGCACTTGATGATTAATGTGAACTCTAGATTTTGTTGATCGTCTAATGTTCCAGAGAAGCCAAATTTGATTGGTTAAACTGATTGACAGGTCGTTGTTGGTGATACCAACTAAGACTTATTACATTGTGTGCATGAAGTTTCTTTCTTTCTTTTCAGGGAATGAGGTGAGGGATGCCAAATTGAGAGGAGAAAAATGTCAACCATATAATTTAAATGAATGGTTGTATTATTATATAATTTAAATAGACGATTAAAGCAGAAACTACTTGAAACAAACTTGACTAATTATTTATTTTTTTGCGATCAAGATATAATCCTCTCACAAGATATGTCTGCTGTTGTTGAAATGCTGATTTTTGTTTAATGTACTAGTTTTAGCTTGACTGATAAATGCCACAAAAGAGGTTGGACATAATGCCTAGACGCTTTTTATGCATGGTTAGAAAGTTTTAGTCCCTGACGAAATTATTCGTGGCTTAACTTCAACATAAATTTACTCTACCATGCGAGCTTAACACTTTGTTGAGGCTGAGAATACTTTTGTAATTTGAGGAATTAAAAAGTTCCTAAATTTTATAGGTCATGCTTTCCTTCCTCTCAATAAAATTAATTTTTGTGGATGAAAATGAAGTTTTCAGGGGTTATGGTGGTTTTGGTGCACTTGGACACTCAGTATATCACCGAGAGTTATTTCCGAGGTTGGTAAAAGGCTCCTGGGAGGGAACTATAAAACACATTGCCACCAGTGGAACACATACTGCAGCAATCACAGAATCAGGTTTGTATGATGGATTGAACTTCAGCAATGATTGAAACAAATTTGGATTGATGAATAGTAAGGAAAAATAATTACCGAATTTAAAATCTGGCTGATCTCATCAGTTGCAATTTTCTTATATCAAATTGTGACAAGTGTTTTCTTACCCTTGTAAAAGGAAAAGAGCAAAATAAAGACAAGAGGATATTGGAATAAAATTCCCTCGTTGATTGATGACAGAAATGTACATCATATACACTGCTATATCACGTGGATAAAAAATGGAAAAGGAAAACAGAAAATTGTACAAGAGCATAATCACTATATAGCTCTTCATGTTCAAGAAGAATTCTAGCTATTTACAACTATTATTCAGCTATTTCTGAAATACAAAAGTACAAGGTAGCAGAGTGTGCACTGTGGCCCATACTTTATTTCTGCACAATATTGTTTTTGAGATGGATTCGGCTTTTTGTTATATTGTGTCTTTCTGTTTATTTTGGAATACAAAAGCAGTCTACAGAAAAATATAAAGCATAGAAAATTTTCCTAATATTACAGGCTCTCTGTACACTTGTTTTCTTATGATGAAGTGATTCAATAAAGGTGCACTTATATTATAAATGTCAAATCTGATTGAAAGATTTTGTTAAGACTTTTAAAATACAATGCTTGGTTGCTGGAAGATAGAGATTTCTATTTCGATGTTCAGCCTTTTCTTATTGCACTCATCCTTTTATCATCTCAAGGCTATACATCCATTTCTCCTAGTTTTAAACTTTCTTGCACCAATTTGAGCTTCTTCTTAGGAATGTCCAGTAACATGAACATCGTATAAAATGAAATGGTATGTACCCTTTGAGACTGATGTTGGGTTTGTATTGGACATAGGAGAGCTTTATACCTGGGGTCGAGATGAAGGGGATGGTCGATTGGGCCTTGGTCCTGGTCGGGGCCCAGATCATGCTGGTGGACTTAGTATCCCTTCCAGGGTAAAAGAATTACCTTACCCTGTTGCTGCTGCTTCCTGTGGGGGATTTTTCACAATGGCATTGACGGAGGATGGACAATTATGGAACTGGGGAGGTAATTGTCTCGTTCGTATGATTTTTCTCAGTATTTTCAGACGTTTGGCAAACTTCCTTTATCCATTGCTTTTAGTTTTGGAAAATTGATAAGGTTGGGATTTTGTCAGCTAATTCTAACTATGAACTTGGGAGAGGTGATAAGACTGGTGGTTGGAAGCCGAGGCCCATACCCAGCCTTGAAAATGTTAAAATTATTCAAATAGCAAGTGGTGGATATCACTCCCTAGCATTAACTGGTATGCTGATACGTCACCAAGTTTGTTTTGTTCATTTCATTCTCATGGATTATATAATTATATCTATATTCTTAATTTTTCTTAGGTGATGGGAAAGTGCTCTCATGGGGCCATGGTGGACAAGGTCAGTTGGGCCATGGATCTGTCCAGAATCAGAAGATACCAGCTGTAGTTGAGGCTTTATCTCAAGAGCATATTATATATATTACATGTGGGGGTTCCTCATCAGCAGCTTTGACGGGTAATACTGACCTCATCTGACATATCCTTCTGATGATACTGCTGGTAAAAAGAATTAAAGCAATTCCCATGACAATACGAAGAGGTAGAGACCGAGAGTGAATAGTGAGAAAAAGAGAACAATTATTCTTTATTGATAAATTAGAAATGGAAAGTCTCATCACTCTCCTCACAACGAGTTTTCAAAATCTGCTACTGCAGTTTATTTTCATTGCTATTTATACCCATTAACCCCTAACATTATAACAACTGCCTAACTAACTGACTTGTAGGTCAGTTGGGTTTGTTACCTTATTCCTTCTAGAGTACACTTTAGTAATTGGCCGTTTGTTTGTTAGCTGCATAAATTCACTTTAAAATATAAATAACTTTTATTTTTTGGGTGTGTTCTCTAAGAGCTTAATGCCCAATGCAGCACTAGACAATGACAATTGCAAGGCGATAGATGAAGACAAGTGAATAAAGCACAAGATACCTCAAGTAACACAAAGATCAAATGACAAATAAATGAAGTAGACAAAGTAACATGTGGCTTTCACAAGACACAATTTGAATTGTGAAGATTGTCTCCAACCACTAATGGACTCACGCATCCCAAATATGATATTGATACAATGGACCCACTTTCTAATTACTAGTATTCTTACATTTCCACTTTTAGCTCAAACGAGTATACAAAGTTAGACTATATCCTTGTCTCCTCTTGAGATAAAACATGAGGGCACCAAGCCACTCTTTGCTTTCTAAGTACACAATGCTACTTGCAAATATAGAAGATGTTTAAGAAGGTCACAAGGAAACTCTTAGAGAGGAGATAAATTATTTTAACACTCCTTGTAAAAGAGAGTAATTTCACATGGTGAAGGATTTACATATAAATTTCACTCTCTCAAAGCTCTCTAGTAGACATATAAGCTATTAAAACCTATTTTTTTATTTATAGAATAACTTCACACAATGAATATTTTACAAACCACATTACTCTCTCGTAGTTGTCTAGTGTACAATTTGCTATTTTTGTAGTTAGAAGCTTTTTCAATCTTTTGCATGCAATGTATTCCATTCACATTTCATCAGTTGCAGGAAACTAGTCTTTTCTACATGGGATGACTTCTATTTATTGGAAAGACTGAAAAGAAAACAAAATAGGAGAGTCCTCTCTCCTCCAAGGGTTTCCCTTCACACATGATGGTAATGATTTTGTCAACAATTCTCTAAACATCCAAAAACCTCCCTGCCTACAAAGACCCCCCCACTATATAAAGAAAGACTCACTCAACCTAACAACCTAACTAACAACTAATTCCTAATATGTTTCCTTCTATCCTGCACATATTATATCTTATCATTACACACCCCTGCAGAACAACCTTGCCCTCAAGGTTGGTACAGTGACACTTGTTCCCATGACTCATCTTCATCAATGTGTTATCACAGGAAGGGAACCCACTGGCTAGTGCCTGCCAATTCAGGTCTGGAGGCTTGGGTGGTGATCGATATGACTCCTTCTGTTCCATTAATGATAAGAACTGCTTCAAACCAAGAGACCTGGAAAACCAGTGACTTCTTGCACGACTCAAATTCTATGGCATATCTTCGCGACAACTCTTGTTTTCTCATTTCTACTTCTAGATCTTCCATAATTACTTGGCCATCCCCATAAAGCACAAGTGTTGTAATATGCTCTGAAACTGTTTGCATTGCTTCCATTACTGAAGTTTCTTTCCTTCCATCTTTACTTTCCTCCATTGTGAGTAATTCAAGATGGCTAGTGAAAAACAACTCTGCAAGAAAACCAGAAATTCCTTTGTGGCCAGTGATAGAAGCAAGATCTACAGGTGTTATAACATCAGGAAATTCAAGATATGGATTTGTAACTGCCATAGTGGATGCACCCCTGGACACCAGGGCCTCAACTAGGTCGCTCCCTGACCCCACTGTTTTAACCCTAGGCCTCAACAATTCTGCTCCCTCCTCATCTGGTTTACTACTCGGTGTAGATGTATCTTCCTTCTTCTCTTCATCATTAGCCAAGTACTCTCCTTCTTCAGAGAATTTCTTGCCTTTCTTGCTATTTTGCAGACTATCTTTCTCAGCATCCAATCCCGTTTCTCTCTCTTTCTTTCCTTTCATGACAGATATCTCACTTCCTTTTAAGCCCCTTCCATGATTTATGCGTTCCTACCACGTCTTTCTTTTCTTGGACGATTTCTCTTATTTCTTGCACAATATGAACCATTTTATTACTTTTGTGATGTTTAATTTTGACAAATTATATGTATATATATGAGAGGAGGGATCAAGTAACTAAGATACTTATTCCTCATGCTCACCCTTCATTTTCAGAACTTAATTGAATGACTCTTCAGACAGTTAGATTAAAAGAAAATAGTAACTCTTAAAAGTTAGAGTAACTTGATTCCCACTCCCTTGTTTCTCTCTCTGCATATATAGACATACATAGAGCTGGCTCATAAACTGATGTAATCTGACTATATATAGCTGATTATTTTTATTTGTGAATTCCATGATCCAATTAAATGATATTCTTAATAAGTCTATTTGACGCAAATGATAATATGCACCTAAATTCTGTTCTGTATTTTAATTCTCTTACTTCCTTTTATATTCTCGTATGATTGCTTGTGTATATTGAGATCGGGAAATTATGGACGTTTGCGGTAAATTGTTCATCTAATGAAATATTGCGATTAAATTATGTAGTGATGTAAATAAAGAAAATGCTTAGAGCTGATCTCTCAAGCAATTTATAAATCAATTGTCAAAGTTGTAGGTTGTTTGGCGAAAATTGAACTTCGAAATTTCTCATTTTCCTTGTCATGATAAGTTCATGTTAAACAAAATTTCAATTCATCGTAACACAAACTAAGCTTACTTTTTTTTGCTCTGAACAGAGAATGGAAAGTTGTACATGTGGGGAAATGCTAATGATTCTCAATTAGGAGTTCCTGGGCTACCACCCATTCATCCATGCCCGGTTGAAGTCAACTTCTTAATGGACGATGACGGATTAGGACCTCACAAAGTTTTATCAGTTGCAATTGGCGCATCACATGCCATGTGTTTAGCTTTGAGGGAGAGTAGTTGATTTCTTCAACTGACGTGGAAATCTCTTCTTTCACTGTAGTGTTCTACTTGGATATAATTCATTTTGCTGCAAAAGGTAAATTTCTTGGGTGAAAATGCAGTTTATTTATTTATTTTTTTGAAATAGGATGTCACATAATGAACATATGACGATTAAAGTTGATTGTTTTCAATGAATTCAGATCTCTTCATCAGTGCTGCAGGCACTTTTTCTTCTTCCTCATTTGAATTTGATATAGCAGAACACGTTACTCACCAAGATTAGTTTCATCCTTTTTTGCAGATAGCTAAATTGTAAGAATATAAGATGGTTGAGATGGTTGAATTGCTCTCTAAGTCCAACACATCTAATTGGCAACTCTGACTACACCAGAGGTCCTGCATTTATAGTTTCATTCTCCTAAAATCTTATTCCAAATGAAAAATGTATTTGTTTTATTGCCTATTCCTTCGTAGATGGAAAAGATTAAATTTGAATTTCACTTTGGGTTGGAAAACTGGCTAAACGTAATTCACTATCAAAAGTTNGCTGCAAAAGGTAAATTTCTTGGGTGAAAATGCAGTTTATTTATTTATTTTTTTGAAATAGGATGTCACATAATGAACATATGACGATTAAAGGTGATTGTTTTCAATGAATTCAGATCTCATCATCAGGGCTGCAGGCACTTTTTCTTCTTCCTCATTTGAATTTGATATAGCAGAACACGTTACTCACCAAGATTAGTTTCATCCTTTTTTGCAGATAGCTAAATTGTAAGAATATAAGATGGTTGAGATGGTTGAATTGCTCTCGAAGTCCAACACATCTAATTGGCAACTCTGACTACACCAGAGGTCCTGCATTTATAGTTTCATTCTCCCAAAATCTTATTCCAAATGAAAAATGTATTTGTTTTATTGCCTATTCCTTCGTAGATGGAAAAGATTAAATTTGAATTTCACTTTGGGTTGGAAAACTGGCTAAACGTAATTCACTATCAAAAGTTAGTTTCAAGGAGAGTTGAATTAAATTGAACTATTTTTTGTCACGACCGGTTATGTCAAATTTGGACGAATTTTATTTGGCCTTTTTCTATCAAATTAGGTTGAATTTCAGTCTTGGTTGACTTGATTAAATTCAACCAAATTTTGATTGTAGTTGATTCAGTTGAATTTGATCAAATTTTACTAAGGGTCGATTTGGCCGAATTTAAGCCAGGGTCGATTTGACCTAATTTGGCTAAATTTTGAGTGGAGCTGGTTCTATTGATTTTAGCCAAATTCAATAAAATTTAGCTAAATTCAACCAAATTTTGGTTGTGGCTGATTTAGTTAAATTTAACCAAATTTCAATCATGGCTGATTCAATCAAATCTGACCAAATTTCAGTTGTGGTTGACTCGGCTGAATTTGATAAAATTTTGGTTGTGGTCGACTCATTCAAATTGGTTAAATTTTGGTTGGAGTCAACTTGACCAACGATCGAATTTTAGTCGAGGTTGATTATGTCAAATTCATACATATTTCATTCTATCGTAACTTTGATAAATTTGGTTAAATTTTGATTTGGGCTTACTTGGTCAAATTCAATCAAATTTCAATTAAGGATGACTCTTTCGAATTCAACCAAATTTTCATTGACTTTGTTAAATTTGACCAAGTTTCGATTGTAACTAAATTCAACTAAATTTCAATCGGAGCTTGACCTTACTTATCCTAACTTGTCCCATCGTTCGGCTCGAGCCAAGCTATCATGACCTTCTACTCAAGTTGGATTGTCTCAACTTTCAACTAGGGACGACCCATCTAAATCTTCGTTTCGGCTGATTTGGCTCGACCTTCGACCTATGTGCCTTTGTGTTATTCTATCTTTCATTAACAAAATAATTTTGAAGTTAGGATTAAATATGTAATTGGTCCCTTAATTTTAAGTGAATTTTAAAATTATTTCTTTTTTGAAACTTTGACTCATTTTAGTCTCCTAATTTGAGATATACGTGAATTTAATTATTGGGTTAAAATATGCTTTTAGTCCTTCAACTATCAAGCAATTTTGTTTTTCGTTTCTCTTTTAAACTTTGGTACACTTTGATCATTCTCCTTAAGGAAATCATAATTTTTCGTCCTCCAAAACAAACGGCGTTAAAAATTAGATGAGGTGGCTAACGTCTGACCACGTAGGATGACATCTATCCTTTCTAATGTTTGTCACATGTGATTACATTTTAAATGCAAAGTGAGAACTTTGCTTTATTAGGTTCATTCGTAAAGTTTGGTTGAAAGCGTGGTCTGAAGGTTGAAGAGCAAAGACGAGATCATCATTTCAACTGGAAAGAAGGTTGAAGGTGAATCGCAAAAGGTTGGATTTCATCTTCTTGAGCATTGGTGTAGTTTGTCACGTAAGTTCATTTTTCTCTTTCGTTTCGTGTGAATAGATGGATGGATTTGGGATATAGGGTTTTGTTGGGACTAGTCGAACTTCATTTCCTTTCGAAATCACTGTTGAAGGGAAATGAAAGCTGACAGAGGAGGAAATGGTTGCAAGCGAAGGAGCAGTGGTTCTAGAATGTCCCAAACATGTGGATCCTTCTCTCACTTAACTTCAAAAAACTGCGGTTGTAGGGAAAGATTGTTGCTGTTGAAGGCAACTACATTGAAGAACAAAGGGAGACTATTTTATAGATGTAGAAATTGGACAGTAAGTGAGAAAAAAATGCTTTACTTATTGTGATGAAGTTTGTATTCGTGATTTGTAATTTCTTTTGCAGAGTAATTCAAGTTGTAACTACTTTGAATGAGTTGATAAAGGAGATTCTGAAATTGAAGGAAACTTACAAAGGAAGAGTGAAGAAGTTGAAGTTTGTATTGAAAATGTTGTGTTGGATCTAAGAAAGAAGAAGGACAAGTTGAAGAGGAAATTAGAGCAAGAAAAAAAAATTTCAAAATGATGTTGGTCTTGTTTGTATTGTCATGGGCATTAATAGTGATGATTTCTATTATGATTGTGTTGAAGATAAATTATAATTAGATTGGTAATGTTGTGTTGTGGATGTACTTTGAAGTTTTAAATTCAATAAAATGTGGAAGTTGAGTTCAATTTTGCCCTGATGTTTGTGTTATGTGCATTTTGTGTTATGTGATTATAGCTGTCATTTTAAATCAAAGAGTTTGAACACATAAGTGGGTGTTGTCTTTATGTGCATTCCTAGTGGTTGTAAGTTAAATAATTTGACAACATACCCATAGTTCACAACCTAATGTAAACCTGTCAATGTTGTATAATTTATAAAAATCAGTTACCCCCAAAATCTCAACCAGTAAAAGCGTTATATTGTTATGCGTAATTTGGACATGTGAATGAAGTCTTTATTTCAACTAGAGAGAATGACCAAGTATCATTCGATGTGGGTGTTTTATATAAGCTATTAAATGATCTCCAATGGGTTGGAGCAATCCATTATAAATGGTGTGTAGTTATTGTGTACAATATTGGTAAGGTAAGGTAGTTGTTCTACAAGTGTATAGTAATTGTCAAACCTTTCTACAAACCAACTTGGCAAATACCGATAACACCAAAGTACAACAGAACTTGCATATACAATTACAATTACAAAAACAAGAATAATCTATAAGAATTATGTATTTGACATTTCTCTAATAGATTGCATTACAATAAACCTATATTGAACCTGATAAGTATAAATAAAATCTGATAGCAAAAAGCACCACCAACTTATAAGGTTTTTCACTTATAACATCAATCATCCAAGATTACTTTCTCACTTATAAGATTACTATTTTCGTGTCTAGAAACAAATTAATGAACTGTGCTCCTGTTAGGAAATAATGGCATTGGAACAAATTGACAGAATTGAAAAGATACAGCAAAAATAACAACTCTGTCTATTATGAGATTCCAACCCCCCTAATGCTTTCAAAATAACTACTCTAACAACCAATTTAAAGCACAATGACTGAAATGGACAGTGAAGAATAAATTGTCATCGAAGTGGTCCCTGAGCACTTTAATTAACATTGCATCGAACAAAAAGAAGTGGTCCTAGAGCACTATAAATAACAGAACAATTCAGTCAACAATAACAAGTGGTCCCTGACTACTTTAATTAACATTGCATGTGCTACACTATATGACAAACAAGTGGTCCAAAAAATATTGTGCCCACTACTAATGGTCTCCCTAAGTGGGTCACACTCAGTACATTATAGCATTACAAAAAGTCACATGCCTACACTAGCAAATCAGTCGCAACTCGCTTGAGACCCTAGAATTTGTCCAACCAATCTTGAGGATGTTCTTCTTCCCCTTGCAGCCCCTCCAGGTTGTGATGTTGATGCAACCCCTACATCTGTGCCTACTCCCATTCGTGATGTTGGACCTTGTGAGGTTGATGCAAATGGTCCACCAGCTACTGCAATTCTTCTTGCATATGCTCCCCTTCCAGTTGATGTAGATGCTCCCATTCCAGCTGATGTAGTTCTTCTTGCAGATGCTCCCCTTCCAGCTGATGTAGTTGTTCTTGCAGATGCTCCCCTTGTGTCCTGTGAAAGGAGTAAGTTAGTTAGAATTGACATACTTGTAAATAAATGAACTTGTAAATAACATCTCCAGGAAGAATTACCTTGCTTTTCTGCCCCTTTTTACAACTTCTTACATTGTTTCTATATGCATTACAACTGCTACACTTCATACCAATATTTTTCTTGGACAACTTTGAATGGCTGACATATTCATCAGCTTCTCTTCTTCAACCACATAAAAGCTAGTGGAAAATATTGGTCATTACGGTCTCTTGCCACTGCCACTAACAACTGGCCTCCATATGTTGTCTTCAAATGACAACCATCTACCCCAATGAATGGCCTGCAACTACTTAAGAACCCCTCTTTACAGTCCTCTAAACACATGTAAAATGACCTAAACCTTGGTGGCAAAGTGGGTTGGGGTTGATTGACCTTAATCTTGAAGGTTCCAGCCTTGACTCTTAAAAACTCAGCCACATAATCATAAAGACGATCATATTGTCGTTCTCCATCACCCACTAAAGAATCCATTGCAATTTGCTTTGCTCTTCCAGCTTTCCAGGGAGTTGTTCCAACACTAAATGACTTTTTGATTTCATCTATGATTTGGTTCACTGTCATGCCTCCCACATTTATAAATCTGTCTACCAATA